TGGTTAGCAGCACAAGGTAGGGTCCTTCCCAGGCTGGCTCGAGTTTTTCTTCTTTCTATCCTTTGATGAGGACGTGCTCCCCAGGCTGCTGCTTGTGTACTGGAAATTCTAGGGGTGGTACCTGTGCTAAAAGATTTTTAGTTTGGAGAGAAGGGAAAGTGGAAGATAAACTAAGTATATAATTTCTGAGAAACTGATCTTTTGTTTTAAATGTGGGGGCATCAGCAGTGGAATGTAAGGTATCTTTTTTACTTTACAGTCCCTACTGCCTTTTTGCTAAGAAATTTCTTTTTCCTTATTTTTACTTATGTTGTTTCTGAGGGACCCTTTGGGGCTCCTTATTTTGTCAGAACTTTGCATATCCTGGGGCGTGAGGCACCAGCATGACGCTTCCCTCTCCATTCCAGCTCAGCACTGCCTAGGGCACGCTGCAGCCCCACCCCCTCTTAAGGTCTTGGCCTCCCTGTGGCCCTCACCGCTCCCACGCATTGGGGCCTTGGGTATGAGGGGCCTTGTGATTCACCCGACCACCCCTGGACCTTGCTCCTGCCCGAGCCCCTGCCATCTGGCCCCTGGCCTTGGGTTGGGCTGGGCTGGCTAATGGCTGCAGCGGCCCCCTCCCCTGCACAGCAAATATCTGTCTGTGGTTAGGTCCTCCAGCCAGCTCACACTACAGCCTCTCTAGGAGCTGCTGGAGGTGGAAACTCGTTGGCATTAAGCCTGAGCTTAGAGGGGCCCGGCCTAGGTTCTTTGATGCAGTTGGAACAAGATTTTTTTTTTTTAATAAGGTGTTCAGATAATATTTCTTTTTGGTTTAGTAATATTCCTTTTCCTTTCGAATTTTTTAGCACCTTTTTATAACCTTTTAATGTAGGTAAAAATACATATTCTTATGCCTCCTTATTTTACTACAAGTATATTTTACTTTCCCTACATACTCTGCACATAAACTGTTTAATTTTACATTCAAGATGCCTACTTTTAAATTATACAATATTTCTTGCATAAATTATCTTTTATAACTTTTTTGCAACTTTCACAATCACTGACATGCCTCAACTCTTTGACTACCTTTTGCCCTATTTCTCTCCCCAGTCTTACCTTCTGTGTCTTTCTCTGATCTCTGTCTCTTTCAAGTCTTTCACTTATTCTCTCCCTCTCTCTCTCTCTCATTTGGGCTCTTTTTCTGTCATCCCGTTTCCTCTTTCTCTTACACTTAGTCTTCTGCGCTGGGTGGGATCTGCGTGGCCACACAGTCCGGGCCCTGGCCACCGCCAGCCTAGAAGCTCGGGAGGTGCCTGCCCCAAGTTGCATGAGTCATGCCCCTTCGCCTCCTTTGTTCTCCTCCTGGGGTCCGATCCCCACCCTCTTCTTCCACGCAGAGCCAGGCTGGGGAGAGGGACCCACCCTCTGGCGCGCCTAGCTGCCTGGCTGCGTGGCACAGGCTCCTGGCCCCAATGCCCTCATACTCCCCCACTCGGCTCCAACTTGCAGGCGTCCATGGCCAGCCGGCCTCCGAGGGTGGTGAGACACACCCGAGCAGCGAGCAGCGCACAAGGCGCAGGGCTCAGGGACCGGCAGGCTGGGTGGCTCTGGCTGTGCGGGAAGAGAGTGTCCCAGCCACCGCTGCTCTGCCAGGTGCCGGCGATCTGCAACAATGTGGAGCCATACTCACCACTCTCACTTTCTCTCTGACTTCCTTTCCTAGTTTCTCTTTCCTCTCTGCTGGTCCTTCCCTTGCCTCTTTCTTCTCCCAAGAAGAGGGGAAAGGGAAGTTATGAACATTTTTCCTATGACCGGAAGTTTGTGTGAGGTTCAATCTCCCCCAACGGGGATTTTTCACCTCTTTTTAACCTCCAAGACACCTCAACTAAGGAATACTTCACCCCCCAGGCCTCCCTGTGGCTTTTCTTTCCTTAGTCCTGACTATGGAATGCTTTACCTTGATATGTACTAACCAAAGAGCACTTCACCGCCCCGTGGCTTCTTTTTCCTTAGTCCTGACCACCAAGGAAATATTTTACTGGCTCCCATGGCGTTTCCTTCCTTGGTCTGTGCAGAGTTGCCTGGTCCACATGGTATGTGAGGATCTTTTACTCCAGGTCACCAGCGGTTTCTTTCCGCATTGCTGAGACTCCAGTTTATTTGTCACACCTGGTGGGTCTCGATTCCTTAGCTGGAGGCCTCAGTAACAAGGCAGTGGGGCACCTTCCTCATGAGAGAGGACCAGAGACCACCACCCGCCCCCCACCCCCGCCCCGCCCCCGGAGGAGAATGGCTCCCCATACAGGCCACCACCATTGCTATAAGTAAAATGTTTATTTAGAAACAGAATGCTTGCTCCTCAGTACTGCAAGGAAAAATCAGCATTTAGATTAAAAGTTTTTTCAGCAAGGCAATTTTACTTTCTGCAGAAAGGGTGCTCCTCACAGATGAAACAATGGTGACTACACACCCGAACAAAGGAGGGAAGCAGTTTTTATTCCTTATGTAGCTTGTCCCTGCTACTGTGTCCTGTCTCCATTGGCTGGAGCTGGACCTCACAATTTAAATTAAACTCTACTGGCTAATAACTTAAAACTTTCCTAAATAGGGAAAGGCGATAGAGAACAAAGGAAAAGAGGAAGTTGCTTGCGAAAGGACTTAGAAAAGTAGTAATATTTCCAAATAAGGAAGGGGCATAGGCTGCGAGCTGGAACGTGCCTGAGAGCATGTCCAGCACAAATATCTTGGTTAAAGTACAAGGACATAGAATATACTTATTCCTTTATATCTAACAGCTACATAGGACAGGGCTTAACAAAGAGTTTTAAGGAGACGAGGCTTGAAGGAAGTTAGTCTTTAAAGGAAACTATTATTTCTCACTTAACATTTATCCTTTAACAAGAAAGGAAATTTCGAAAAGGAAACTTTTTACTTTCTACAGGCTGATGAGTGCAGTTAATCCTCATTGTTATGAGCATCACTATTATCATCACTTGCAAGAGCCATGTGACAATATTTAGATGATTCTGGGTTCTTTTAAAGTACATACATACTCAGGATTCCTTTGGGAGGATGCAATTTCACATTTATATGAAAAACTGTCACTACCATACTCAGCTCTAATAATATTTGATATCACTTGGTAATAAAGGTTTGTCGGCTAGGCACAGTGGCTCACGCAGCACTTTGGGAGGCCAAGGCAGGCAGATCACGAGGTCTGGAGTTCAAGACCAGCCTGGCCAGTATGGTGAAACCCCATATCTACTAAAAATACAAAAATTATCTGGGCATGGTAGTGGGCATGCTACTTGGGAGGCTGGGGCAGAAGAATTGCTTGAACCCAGGAGGCAGAGGTTGCAGTGAGCTGAGATCATGCCACTGCACTCCAGCCTGGGTAACAGAGCCAGACTCTGTCTCAAAAAAAAAAGGTAAATAAAAAATAAAGGTTTGTCATCATATACTCAAAAGTACTTCTGTTATTCAAATCTTCCTAACTGGGAGTTAGAACTATCTCTGATTCTGTTCTTGTAGTTGTCAGAGCATAAAATGCCCTTCCCACTCTTTCCTCATTTCCAGACTCCAAAGCCATCTCCTCCTCAAAGTTTGGCCCATCTACTTTGGACTACTGTTTTCTTACTGAGCACTGACAGTACCTTTTGTTCTCTCTCTCTTTTGGTAATATCTCTCTTTTGGTAATTCACTATACACTTTCTAGTTTATTTAACTGCATAAAACTTAGTTCTCCACAAGACTATAACTGCCTTATGAACAGAGATCAACACCTGAGAATCTTCAGAGTCTCCTACTACATCATGTAAGAGCTCACTAAATGTTTGATTTAAATAACTAGGCTTAAGAATAATATATTGGCCGGGCGCGGTGGTTCAAGCCTGTAATCCCAGCACTTTGGGAGGCCGAGGCGGGAGGATCACGAGGTCAGGAGATCAAGAACATCCTGGCTAACATGGTGAAACCCTATCTCTTCTAAAAATACAAAAACAAAAAATTAGCCGGGCGTGGTGGCGGGCTCCTGTAGTCCCAGCTACTGGGGAGGTTGAGGCAGGAGAATGGTGTGAACCTGGGAGGCGGAGCTTGCAGTGAGCCGAGATCGCACCACTGCACTCCAGCCTGGGCGACAGAGCAAGACTCTGTCTCAAAATAATAATAATAATAATAATAATAAAAAACAGCAGCTAGTTTTGGAGAGTTTACTATATGCCACATCCAGTGCTAAATGCATACGTGGATTATCTTACTAAATTTTCTGAACTCTATAGAGTAAGTGCTATTATTTGAGAAAGAAAGTGAGGCTCAGAATAACTTGCTCAGGGTCACACAGCTAGTAAGTGGCAAAACCAGGGCCTGAATCTAGCAAAGCTCTTAACTACCTCAGAACACTGCACAGTTCCAGCCCTGCTATACTATAGTCCACGAATGATTTCGATTTCACTAAGTTAGCAGTTTGAATTTCAGCTGAGCAGAGACATTTTAGCTAAAAAGTAAAATTTTTAAAAGGATGAATTAAGAGAATTTCCCACAGACATCTTTATAATAAAACGAGGGGAAAAGCCTCCCATGTCCTATTTATGAAAGTGATATTAAGGTTTGGGTCACAATTTCGTCAAGAAGTGGCTTATGACAATACAGCTTTGGTTTAGATATTTAAATAGGACTCTTTCTCTGCCCCTAGGAGGACGTGGAAATGAAGGATGGATGTGATAACTGTCAATTCAGAACTCTGCAAAATGCCAGACTCAATTCTTGTTTTAAGAAGAGCCAGGGCTCTTGTTCCACCCTGGATTCTTCACACAAAACAGCACCATCCTCTGACCTCTTCACACAGAGCAAGCTTTACCTCACTACCCAAAGGGGAGTGCTGATCCACATGGTCTCCCCATCCCCGCTAGAAACTGATCCCAAACACCAGCCGCTGCACAGACGTAGGCTACTTTGGTCTGCAACCCCCGAACTTGGTAAAACCTCATCAACCCGACCCCTCCCCAACATTCAAAATGCCCGGACCACCATCCGAAAGCCAGTCTCTTATACAAAGGAGAATCCCTGCCTACAAAGTAGTTTTCCACCTCCGACTCCTCCCCACAGCGAACAGCCCTTCTGGATCCAACTAACCCACCGACCCCAACAGGGCCCAGCACCCACAGGGTTCACAATCCAGAGGAGCTACAAGCCCTGTTACTCGCAAGTCTCGAGCGTCCAACTCCAACTGACCTTCCCTCTGCCAGAGCAAGAACACCACGAGTACCCGCCGAGAGCGAACCTGGCTACACAAAGCCAGGCGCCCGACCAGAGGGACCCTCGGGGATGCCCTCCGCCCCTGGGGCTTCCCCGACCAGCCCCGCCGGGCGCCCCGCGCTCACCAGCTCTCCTCCCCCTCCTCCCAGCCTGACAGACGCTCCAGCTAGTCCAGCAAGCCGCCCTCCCCCGCCGCCAGCAAGAAGGTGGCGTCCCGCAGCTTCTGGTTACTCTTCCGCCTCGGGTACATACGGCCCCGCCGCACGACTCGGCGCTGAGGCCCAAGGGGAAGCCCCGAGGGGACCCCGCGCGGTAGGAGGGAGTGGAGGCGCTGGCGAACCACCCTGCCGGGCCGATGGAGCCGGGGTCCCGCACAGCGCGAGCGGCTCCTCAGCTGTTCATGCTGCTTCCCCAGCTTCTTCACCGGCTCCTGCAGCTTCCGCACCTCTTGGTCCGCGTTCACGTTGGAGTTAACGTCCTCCATCCCGGCCCGGCTGCCTCCGTCGCCCGCCGCCCACTCGCTCTCGCAGCAACAGGGAAAGAGCCGGAGGAAAGAGGCGTCCCCGCCGCTCACTCCAGCCGAAGCGCCCGCATGTAGCAGGACCAGGCCCCGCCGCCAGGGTCCCCCCAGCGCGGGTCCCGAAGTGCAGCTGGCGCCAGCCGAACCGCCTCCTCGGCGCCGGTCCGGGGTTCAGGGAGGGAGCACCAATATCTGGCCTCTGCCGCCATCGTCCCTCCGCCCCCCGAGGGTCGCCCCTGTAAGTGACCTCAAAGCGTCGGGGGTGGGCGTGGCCGCCGGCGGGCGTTGAGAGAACCCGGCGTAGAGAGGATCACCGAGCTCCCGACAGGGCGGGGCCAGGTGTGTGAGGGGCGGGGATTGGGCCAGGAGGGGCGTGTCCGGACTACTGGCTGAAGTGGCGCGCTACTGGACGCTCGACTGAAAGTCCCTGCGGTCCCGGAGGCGAGCAGAAGGTATGCCGCGAGCCGGGCCGAGGTGGTGAACATGGTCGGCTTGTGGTTCCCACGGACCAGTCCCGCCCGACTCCGGGCCAGATCTCGAGTGGGCACTCAACGGGGTCCGGGGAGAGACAGTTAACTTTGTTCAGCAAATATTTAACTGATGCCTACTTTTAATTAGAGATTGTCTCCGCTGGCGGGAGCCTCAGAGACAGCCTGTGTCCTCTTTCTTCACCTGAAAGAAACCCAAATTTCAGACAATTAAGAGAGGTCTAAGTTAAAAATAATAAATATAATTTCTTCCTACTGGCCAGATACCATGCTAAGCCCTTTTTTTAATTATTATTTTTTATTTTTGTCGCCCAGGCTGGAGTGCAATGGCGCGATCTTGGCCAGTTGGATCGAGTATTTTCCTAGCTATACAGACCTAGTCAAAGAACGTATTTGTTTGCCAACGTAATTGTCAAGTAATATATATTATCTATATAATGGACATCTAAAAATCATTGCTGTTTCTGACCAGTCTAAACTTGTTGCCAGAGGGTTGAAAATCATGACTACTGGCCAGTCACGGTGCCTCACGCCTGTCTGTAATCCCAACACTTTGGGAGGCCGAGGTGGGCAGATCACGAGGTCAGTAGATAGAAACCATCCTGGCCAACATGGTGAAACCCCCTCTCTACTAAAAATACAAAAATTAGCTGGGCGTGGTCGCACACACCTGTAGTCCCAGCTACTCAGGAGGCTGAGGCAGGAGAATCCCTTGAACCCAGAAGACAGAGGTTGTAGTGAGCTGAGATTGCGCCACTGCACTCCAGCCTGGGGACAGAGTGAGACTCCGTCTCAAAAGAAAAAAAAAGACTACTTCATGTATAGAAGTTTTCACTGGCATTTAATGCTTTGTGAAATAGATTCCAACTAGTCAGTGTCTGTAAGGAGAACCCTTCCAATATACTCCTTGAAAAGAATAGTTCACTGGACATATGAAGTTAGCACTAACGTTTGGAGCAAGAAGAGCTTGTTGTAGTGTGGAACAATGAATTAAGAATCAGAAAGCCTGATGTTGGGTTCTAGCTGTAGCATAAATGTGCTTGACCCTGATCACTGGTCTCTTAATCTCTGGTCCTTAACTTACTTTAGAATATGTGAGTTGGAGGATCTCCAATATTTCTTCCAGGACCAAAAAGTAAAGGATTCTGATGAGTCCTCATGGTTGCAAAACATAAGAGTAAATATACTTAAATATATAGAGAAGTTCATAGTAGATAGATATACTTGGATTTTTTAATTCAGTTGCCTTACTCAATATGTTACCTTTTTCACTCGATAAATATTGAGCTTCTACCATGTGGCAGGCACCAGTCTAGGTATTTGGATGTTTAATAGGCCTTGTAAGTACAAGACAACTTTCATGGGTTTTTTTTTGTTTTGTTTTTTTGGGGGTGGGGACAGAGTCTCACTCTATTGCTAGACTGGAGTGCAGTGGTGCGATCTCGGCTCACTGCAACCTCCAACTCCCAGGTTCAAGCTATCCTTCTGTCTCAGCCTCCCGAGTAGCTGGGATTACAGGCACGCATCACCACGCCTGGCTAATTTGTATTTTTAGTAGAGATGGGGTTTCACCATGTTGCCCAGGATGGTCTTGATCTCCTGACCTCGTGATCTGCCCGCCTTGGCCTCCCAAAGTGCTGGGATTACAGGCGTGAGTCACCGTGCCTGGTGACAACTTTCAACTCAAACCCACAGACACACACACCCTCAAGTCTGCTGGTCCTGTAGTTTTCACCATTCCAGTAAATGGCAGCTCTTTTCTTCTAGAAAAGAGCTTTTTTGGCCTTCCAAAGTGTTGGGATTACAGGTGTGAGCCACTGCGCCCGACGTACCAAATCCATTCTTTAAGCAAGTCATGCTGGCTCTGCATTCAAAATATGTCTGATTATTTCCCAGTACCCCCACTGCTGCAACTGTAATTCAAATCACCATCTTCTCTTGCCTAGATTACAGTGGTACTGTTTTAATGAGCTATTCCACTTTGCTACTTACAGTCTCTTGTGTACACGGCAACCAGATGATCCTTTGTGTACGTCACATCAGGTTACTCTCCTGCTCAGAATCCTCCAGTTGCTTCCCAGTGTATTTCAGAGCCTTTTCCCTGGCCTATAAGGCTGTAGATACTTGGCACCTTCCGCAAGTATCTCATTAAACCACCCTTCCCCTTCTCACTGTATCACACTGGCCTTCCCGATGTTCTTCAAACAAGCCAAGCGTGTTTCTATTTTAGGAACTTTGCACTTGCTTTTCCATCTATCTAGCATCTATTCTTCCTCCACGTTGTCAGGTGACTGACTCCCTCACTTCATTCAGGTCTCTGCTCAAATATCACCTAAGTTCACTATCCTCGTTATGCTGATTCTCCATAAAATAGCATCCCTATACCCCATCCTCTTAATCCTGTTCATTTTTCCTCAGACACATCTTTCTTTCCTTCTTTCTTTCTTTCTTTCTTTCTTTCTTTCTTTCTTTCTTTCTTTCTTTCTTTCTTTCTTTCCTGCCTGTCACTCCCCAATAGAATGTGAACTTCATGAGAACGGAGTTCAGTTACATCCCCAGTGCCTACAACAGGGCCTAGGACATGCTAAGTGCTCAATACATGTTTTTTGAATGAGTGAGTGAATGGATTTAGGTTCAGTGAAGGCTCCTAAAAGAGAATTTCAGATGTGGTTATATCTCCAGTCATTGAAGGGGAAATTTGCAATTATTTTGAATGGCTGACTTTTTTTTTATTTTGAATCAGAATTTCGCTCTTGTCACCCAGGCTGCAGTGCAATAGCACAATCTCGGCTCACTGCAATCTCCACCTCCTGGGTTCAAGCGATTCTCCTGCCTCAGCCTCCATAGTAACTGAGATTACAGGCGCCCACCACCACACCTGAGTAATTGTTGTATTTTTAATAGAGACGGAGTTTCACCATGTTGGCCAGGCTGGTCTCAAACTCCTGACCTCAGGTGATCTGCCTGCCTCGAATTCCCAAAGTGTTGGGATTACAGGCGTGAGCCACTGTGCCTGGCCAAATGATTAATGGTTGACTTTTTTTGGTTTGTTTTTTGAAATGGAGTCTCGCTTGCTCTGTCGCCCAGGCTGGAGTACAGTGGTGCAATCTCAGCTCACTGCAACCTCCGCCTCCTGGGTTCAAATGATTCTCTTGCCTCAGCCTCCCGAGCAGCTGGGATTACAGGCATGTGCCACCATGCCCACCTAATTTTTGTGTTTTTAGTAAAGACGGGGGTTTCACCATCTCGACCAGGCTGGTCTTGAACTCCCAACCTTGTGATCCACCCACCTCAGCCTCCCAAAGTGCTGGAATTACAGGCGTGAGCCATCACACCCAGCCGGTTGACTTTTACAATTATATTTTCCTCTTCCAAAAGAGCAGCATGTCATACTATATATGTTTTCTTTAAAACTAGGTCAGTCTCCACCTCCTGAGAGCCAGCATCCCTTAAGAGTTGCTAAGGAGGGCCAGGTGCGGTGACTCACGCCTGTAATCCCAGCACTTTGGGAGGCTGAGGCCGGCGGATCATGAGGTCAGCAGATCGAGACCAGCCTGGCTAACACAGTGAAACGCCCATCTCTACTAAAAACACAAAAAATTAGCCGGGCATGGTGGCGGGTGCCGGTAGTCCCAGCTACTCAGGAGGCTGAGGCAGGAGAATGGCATGAACCCGGGAGGCGGAGCTTGCAATGAGCAGAGATCATGCCACTGCCCTCCAGCCTGGGTGACAGAGCAAGACTCCATCTCAAAAAAACAAACAAAAAGAGTTGCTGAGGAGAGAGTATGAGGACAAGAATATTTCCTTTCTATCCTTAACCTTGGCAGGATCTTCCTCTTTCATGTTAACTATGATACCCTGTCCTCTCTGGTGACTCAGAAGTGTTACAGCATTTTTTTTAAGTCACTCTAAATGTGACTGTTATATAGATACAAGAACTGTTATATAGATACAGAGCTGGTAGGTGTCTGAAGTATGCATCACAGTTAGCCCAACTAGCTTTTCAGGTGTTGTATTTTATAATAACCTTGCTTTCTTACTGAAAGAGGGACTTTCTTCTTTTCTAAGTAGGTGTGGCCATTTTCATGACTTGCTCCTACATGCATGTTAGCTCTTAGCAAAATTCCTGACAAAGTGGAAAATATTACAAGCCACTAAAAGCATTTAGAATGAAAAACTATTCGTCAGTGGCTTAAAGATATTTAGCCATTCTAAATCCTAAATCAAAGTGTGTGTATGTCTGTCTGAGCACATGCTAAAAAGTAATTTAGAAATTACTAGACACAGAAATATTTGCATTTCCTTAGAAAATGCTCACATTCTTTGACAAAAACCTTTGCCATCCATTTTTTAAAATAACAGATAATTTCACTAGACAGTCTGTTTGTTTAAACTTCATGGGTACACGTGGTCAGGAATTTTCTATTTATCCTCTTTCATCTATTTCTTAACAGCATCCTTCCTCCAGATGTGCCTCCCTCTGGTCTATCAAAGGGCCTCTTCTTCACTGTCTTGGCACAGTGCAATTTTACAAAGGAATCCCAGGAACCTTAAAGGTTCGGTATATAAGAATTGAATTGAAAGCTTGGTGGCAAAAAGAAGGGGGACTTTTTTAGGGAGATTCTGTCTAGACGGTGGTCCTATACCACAGTGTTAGGGGGCATATATTATATAGATGTAGGGGTGAGAAAGTCTGTGATCAGAGCAGAGGGTGAACAGGTTCTTGAACTGTTAGGAAACTTTTGTCTTACCCAAAGTGAAACAATACCTTGTCTTTCACCGTTTTTCTGGCAGGAGATGGGAAAATAAGATTCTTAAATAACAGCTACTATTTCTTTTTTTTTTTCTTTAAGTAGTATATCAGTAGGTCAGTGAAGTTGGAAAAGTGGAATATGAACCACTTCTAAATGTCTTTGATGTTCTAGAGAAACTACTATTCAAAGATGGAAGAAAACGTACTAGGAATAATCCAAATCTCCAATCTCCAAGTCAATAAGATAAGTCTCAATAATCTGCCCTAGGATTTAAAATATATTATTCTGAGTATTGACTTAGAGATGCAATGGAGAAAGTAGATTATAAATAGAAACTTGTATCAAGCAAAAGTAAATTAAGCTGCCATTAAGATAATAGCCTTATAATTAGCCTTCTAGGAAGTTGTAGAGAATTCCATTTCTGAGTCTTTGGGTACCGCTGGAGTATTACACAGACTGAAGGACATCATTAGCTATTCAGTTTGACCAAGTATGTCCACAAAGTTACTTTCTAT